TTCATAACGAAGAACTGTCGCAGCAGTCGATGCAGAAGAAGCGAGAACGGTGTAAGGTTATGTCAAGGTTATGTCAAGAATTAAATCGGCTCATTGTTTTGCTTTTATCTACACGCGAGCTTCTCGCGCGATAAGGAATTTCAACCGAAAACGAATGAGGTTATGTTATATATATAATAACGATGCCGATGCGGTTCTATCGAGGATTTTCTCGCGATTAATTTTGAACATGCACATGTAACGTGGATCGAATTTGTCGCGACGGAATTAGGGATTTCCCCGAGTTTGTGAAAGCTGAGCGTAGCACATCGAGTATTTCTCGACGCGCGCTGACCTTGGCTTGAATAACTATAACCTTGAAATTTGCACGGTCGAAAATGAACGTTTCACTGCTAACCTTAGCAGACTCTGATATTTTTCGTATCGGAGGAAGATGAACCATTAATTCATAATTATTATTATTCATAATTCATAATTAAATTCAATTCAAGTAATTACCAATTACACACGTTTTTATCGCTTATTTAGGTTTCATTTATACATGTCCATAAATTAATGGATTAAAAGAACTTGTTCCTGTTCCATTTATACGTCTAAAAATTATTTAAATAAAAGGCAGTCGTTCGTGTTCGATGTATACGTCTATAAATTAATTAAATGAAAGACAATCATTCGTATTTCATTTATACACATATAAATTAATTAAATGAAAGACACGCATTAATAAATTAATTAAACAAAAAGAAANATGTTTCATTTATATGTCTAAATAAATCATTGAAGCAAGGCAAAAGTTACACGCAATTTTATTTTTATCAATCTACAAATGATATTAAATTTCTACAAAATTAATAAAATAAAAGAATTCCATTTATGTTTCATTTATATGTCTAAATAAATCAATGAAGCAAGGCAAAAGTTACGCGTAATTTTATTTTTATCAATCTACGAATGATATTAAGTTTCTAAAAAATTAATAAAATAAAAGAATTCCATTTTTATGTTTCATTTATATGTCTAAATAAATCATTGAAGCAAGGCAAAAGTTACACGCAATTTTATTTTTATCAATCTACAAATGATATTAAATTTCTACAAAATTAATAAAATAAAAGAATTCCATTTATGTTTCATTTATATGTCTAAATAAATCAATGAAGCAAGGCAAAAGTTACGCGTAATTTTATTTTTATCAATCTACGAATGATATTAAGTTTCTAAAAAATTAATAAAATAAAAGAATTCCATTTTTATGTTTCATTTATATGTCTAAATAAATCATTGAAGCAAGGCAAAAGTTACACGCAATTTTATTTTTATCAATCTACAAATGATATTAAATTTCTACAAAATTAATAAAATAAAAGAATTCCATTTATGTTTCATTTATATGTCTAAATAAATCAATGAAGCAAGGCAAAAGTTACGCGTAATTTTATTTTTATCAATCTACAAATGATATTAAGTTTCTAAAAAATTAATAAAATAAAAGAATTCCATTTATGTTTCATTTATATGTCTAAATAAATCAATGAAGCAAGGCAAAAGTTACGCGTAATTTTATTTTTATCAATCTACGAATGATATTAAGTTTCTAAAAAATTAATAAAATAAAAGAATTCCATTTTTATGTTTCATTTATATGTCTAAATAAATCATTGAAGCAAGGCAAAAGTTACACGCAATTTTATTTTTATCAGTCTACAAATGATATTAAATTTCATTTCATATCAAATTTGACCCGACGTTTCGCCGTTATTCTTTACAAAAAAAAAATAGTATTATTAACCGGTAAAATTACGGTGTTCCACGTGGGTGGTTTACTTTTAATATCTATTCTCATATTTTCACGTGCACGTAGGCGTCGGACACGTTTAATAATTTCGGTTCGCGTGTGTGCAACATTGACTGCAAAAAGACGCAGGTATTATTAGTCGTTGCCGAGATAAGTGCGATATGTTTTCACATATTTCGGGACAAGTAAATGCTCGTAATTTATTGCCGCAAACGAGTCGCTACGAAGAAGTAGCTATTTATGAATTCTCGTATCCGTGGCGGTGAAACATAAACGAACTGTGAACGTGATGTTGTTGGTAGAATTGCTTTTGAAAATTCGATACCGATTTATATTATCTTGCGGAGAAATTGGTACAATCGAAAATAAATCAACCGAGCCGAATGATGTTTTTTTATAACATCTATAGAATTGTCTGTTGTAAGCATCTGGTAAATTATTTATTACGAACGTCTGTTAAATTGTCTGTCATAAACAGCTGTTAAATTATCTATTATAAATAGCTGTTAAATTATTTATTATATACTCGTGTTAAATAAATAGCAATAACTATGCGTATTGGAAATGAGAATAGTGCATTTAACGGTAAAATTATCGAATACTACAA